AAAATCTACAATTAATACTATAAGACACGGGTGTCAAACTTGCCGCATCACATGACGTATTGTGACATATTACGACTTTTTTCACATTGCCGGAGTTGGGGTGGGCGCGGCCTCCACATGATGCAACCAGCCCGTGGGCCAGCTGTTTGACACCCCTGCTATAAGACTACAGTATTATTTATAAAGTGGAAATAGGTTTATAATAAGGTGGAGATAAAGCTATTATCTGTAAAACACCCGAGATGGGCAGTATCTAAATTGGATAAATAGATGATGGACAGACAGACAGATAATCAGGTTCTAAATCACTCTTACTATAAGCTAGAAAAGATTCCCAAATTCACTGTTCTGGCTGTACAGCATGAAGTATAATACTGTCTCCAGCTCTAGTGAGAAATTATTTCAGATATTAGAAAAAACATTATTACTCATGATAGGAATCCATTATTGATTTAAATTGGTTTCTCAGTAAGCCAGCAAAGAAATCAAGGAATTTGAGTAAAGGATGGCATATGATATTTGTTCCCCAGCAGAGAAATCAAGTTGTATATCAACTTGCTTTATTTTTTCTTATGTTTTTCTTATGTTTTTAGCAAATTTTCCTCAGTTTAATCCAATAATTCTTTTATGTTAGGCTTTCATTTCATTGCCTTGGTGGGAGTAACTAATTTATAACATTGTAGCATTACTCTTTCATGTTATGGAAAAATCACCCAAGATGTTGTGGTTAGAACAGTTGGTACACCCAACATAATTATCTCCAAATTTGTCTTAATGGTTTTGACCAAATATATTATTATTATTATTACATATCACTGTGGTACAATTGCACAAAGTTTCATTAATAAAAGCAGGCGGACAGATAGACCAGTAGTATTGCCTAACTGGTATTTTACTACTTTCTCTCCCTCTTAAGTTTTCTTTGCAATGATAAGTTTTTAATTATGCTAAAAATTACTGTTATTTGGCAGAATTACATTGTAACATATAAAATATCTGAGGAACAGCATTGGGTTATGAGACTCCCTTAACTTTGGTGTGTGCCTGTTGTGCAAACTTTGAAAGTTTTACTTATTTTTTGTCTCTCTGCTAGGAGTGTGTTTTCTTCTGTTGTTTAGTCTGATTATAATTATTATACCAGGAATGTGGAGGGTTTTGTTATAATTAGCATCATTCTAGATGTATAGAATGTGATAATCAAAGCAATGCTATAGCTGCAGTCATAGCCTGTTTCAGACACTGACCTCCTGTCAAATGAATTTTATGGAAAGGATGCTATTATGGACACATTCTATTTATTTGTAGCTGTATCTAAAACAAGAATGGATAATTGAAAGGGAGAGTGCTTCTTTTCCAAGCATATTTATTCTGGGTAGCGCAATTGTATTCCAACACAGATCAGGGTGAGGCATTTGCTGGATTTCCTATGGCAATGGCTTTGAATCTGTAATTGTTGCTGTTTCCTTTCTTGTACTCAGACATGTTTGTTATCTGTCACACAACAAAGGAATCTTTGGTATGATCCATAGATTTACCGCTGGTGCTCCTAGATTTGTTTTGTTAATAGTTAGGGTTTGAACCTACACAACTAGTGATACCAGAATTTTGGTATTTAAACTCACAGGTGCTTTTGGTAGTAACAACCACAGCCCTGGAAATTTTTTCTTTAGGCTGTGGTTATACAACTGCCATTTTGATTCCTTATTTATATAATTTAAAGAAATAAGGGTGAAGAGTTGGTTCTGATGTCTTCTCTAATCCTTTCTTGATGTGTTTTCATGCTGAGATGTGTACGATGAGAACATTGAGAAAGGTGATGTTTGAAAATATGTGAATGTAAGTTTTAAGTGGAAATGTGTTTGTTATTTATTCTAATTTCATATGAACTCATGAAAGCCAGTTAAACGGATATATATCAGCAACCAAGAGGCAGGCTGACGTATTGAAAAATAAACAATGTGATTCCACGTCCCTATGGTCTATTACTAGTGGGAACTTAATAATTAATCTTACTCTAAGACATAAGGGAGACCAACAAATGCAAAATAGAAGTAACTCTCTCGAGTTTTAACCTAGCTTACTCTTGACTCAATGCGTATTTGATTGTATTCTTAGATCTGGATTCAAATGTTGGGATAGACCTATTTGTGAATTTTGACCTGAAAGTGAAACTCCTTTATTTCTTCATGTTCTGTTTTATTTATTTTCAGCTAATACTCATTGTTAAAGGTCTGTAGACACAACTATTTAAGGCAAATGCTTCTTGTAGCTGGGGAATTGGGGACATTATTTAGAATACCACAATTAACTTACATTGGCATCATTTTCCTAATGGTCCTTCCTAATGATTCTGGCATTCATGTTATACAGCAAGCAAAAGAAAAATTGTAAACAAAATTTGCTTACACTTGTTTTATAATACAATCCCTCTTTGGAGTCACTGAGTATTGTATTTGTGCTGTCATAAACTGCTGCTTTATTTTTGGCTGTATGGAAAAGTACATAAAATACTACTATCTCACAGGGACCTCATCTTCCAAAACCAATGAAATTTTGCTACTGATGTAAAAACATTCCTATGAGCATTTAATGGAAAAACACCATCAATGGAATGAGTACAGTTATGCATTCTTTTCTTTGTTTTTTGACTTTCAAATACTCTTGCAAGACAAAAGTGAGTCTAAGCTCAACTCTGATAAGACGAATATATCAAATTTAAACAGCAGGTGCAATAATGATGATCATGATGTTAATAATAATAATAAAGATCATGTTGCCAACTCAAACAAAATTACTTGGAAGATACTGACAAGGTAACAGAAAGCCATGCCAACAATCAAATTAACAGTTCTGTTTATGGTACATTTTACCTTGATGACTTGTTTCCAGTCTTTTGATATATAAATGCTCTATTGTATTGCTGAATCCATTTTACTTTTGGTAAGTCTGCCAACAGCTTTACAGGCAGGGGAGCTATTTTCTGCTGCAGCAGCAAGAGAAAAGCAATTTAGGTTGAGAAATGTTGCTCTCAGCAGCTAATGAAGCAATCCATTTTTTCCTTTGGCTGCTAAGAGGAAAGGGCATTCACTTAAGTCCTATTGATTTCCTAACTTCCTTTGGATCAAACCTGTGGCTTTAAGGATCCTTTCCTTTAGGATGGCGTTTCCCTGGCCATTCACATGAGAGCAAGTGAATAAAGATTACTCTGTGCGGTTGTAACCATCACCTGGCTGGGATGCACTGAATTAATTTTTCTCAGAAATTTTATTTCATTTATGCTTTTTTGTTGTCTGGTATATTTCCAATATACCTTGCTCTTCAGAAGAATGCCATGTACTGGCACACAAGATAGGATGATAGATTTCTCTGGTGCCTGCACTAATTTGTATGATAGGGCTGGGTTCTCACCCAATAAAAGAAAGAGTATATTGCAACTGCACTTTTCCATTTTAAAATATTGGAATGCTATTTTAAAAAGCATTATACAGTATTTTGTCCTGAGTTCTACATAATATTGCCATTGTCTTCAAGTTACCTAACCCCAGCCGTCTGAAATCAGATAACTAATTCGCAGTTTGGTTTCAATGTTCTTTGGTGGATTACCAGATTAAGTGGGACAGGACAAGAGCCAAGTTTAATAATACAGAGTTCAGCACCATTAATTTCCATGGAGCTTCTTGTTCAAAATAGTTTCAGAATACATCAAGGCAGCACTGCAAGTCAAACAAAATCAAACAAAATAGAGGCTCATTCTATCAGAATCATAAATTTGAATACATTACTATTTGAATTGGAAGGAAACCTCCCAATAGGGCAAAAGTTTGGTCAAAGGCAAAGGCTAATTGCAAGAGTGGCAACATGTATAGGCCAGGCTCAAGACTTCTTTGACTCCCCCATTCCCTCATATTACAATGCTCAAGTAGAGAACCCTCCCTGCAAATCATTGCTAATCTTAAACCTAAATATCTTTTAGTGGCCATCAAGTTTAATGGCCAAGCTCATCAACAGTAATTAACTTGATGAAATATTTTGGGGTGTTTTGTCTCTGTTGGCTATCAGTTAAATAAAATGGATGATCCCAAATAGCTTTTAACAGAAAGAGTAAGCACTTGCCCTTTGTTATCCCCATCACTTCAAAATCTCCATACAGATGCCTGAACTGTTTTGTTTTTGAGTCAAAAGTAGTTAAGAGAGTAACTGAAGGTAGGAACTCCCTAAATGTATAAATGGGCATTGTGAACTAAACTGTGTAATTGTCTTTGTTTTCCTAACAATTATTAACAAAGAGTAGATCATTTCCATTCATACTTGGGGGATTTCGTTAATTTCTACTTCCTTCTGCAGCTTCTCATCTATGCCACATTGTCTACCCTTCTGGTATGACATGGGGATGGGTGGGACAGCTCATAGAAATTAATCCCATCAAGTGTTACAATTAAAATTATAGGATTTAAACAAAATTAAACATTAAAAGATGCAAATTACTGCAGACTATAGAAGACAGAAATATTTTCAGAACGGCGGGTAAAATTAATTAGAATATTGATGTTCTGGATATCTTCCCACGATACCATATTTATTATCTAATATTTAAGTTTAAATTAGATTCTTCAGCCCTTATTTCTGCCTCTTATGGCTTCTTCCAAACTAAAAAGAATACACTGATTCCTTTCCATTCTTTTGCCTGCTATTTGTTATGTCTGTTTTGTCTTTTTTCCTATAAATTGCATCTCACAATCCTTATTTCTTCCTTACTGTCCATAATGTTTCCTTTTATGCTAAGCCTCTCATAAGCTCTGATTGCAAGAGCTTGTGTTTCTGAATGAAAAGGAACAAGAACCAGGAAATGAATATCCTGTTCATAGTCTAGAACAAAATAGTCTGGGATTCTATCATCATTCTGTGACCCATGTACTTAATCTTTTGCTTTATTAATGAAACATCAATACCTGTTTAAGAACGAGTAGCTTGTTCAATTTTCAGACTTTGTTTTGTTTCAGAATTGAGATTCTAATCACCACAGGACATGTCTAAGTGAGTTGAATCAATTTATTTTTAACATTTTTATATATTAAGCCTGTTATGTTGAAATCTGCCATCCATTTTCTCTGAGATGTTCACCTTTGGGTAATACTTTTCTCCCTAGGCTTTTAAGAATTCATTTAAAATTCTCTTAGTGTTTTAAAACCTATTTTACTATTGTAGATTTCAGAATGTTCCTCTGCAGCTATTTATGGTTTCTGTTGTGCATGTTTTTTTGTTATTCTAAATCTTTCATGGCTACCATGCCTCTCAGTTTGAAAAAGCTAAGGGAAAGAGTCTCATGGTGATGTAATGGGAAACTAGAAGCCAGGAAAGATAAGTCTCCTGAAGAGATGATTATACTGTACTTTAAAAAAAACAACAGGATATTCAGACACATTGCACTTGTGAATGTGCCAAGCTCCTTCCATTTTGCCTTTTATTCTTCTTGGCATGGTACTAGCGGTATTTATTTTTACATGGAACTATTCAAATGTTTGCATTTGACTAGAATAGTCCCATTAGTTTTAAGTCTCCAGAACTGATGCATTCGGTATAAGCAGCAGTTGTTTCAGGAAGCCAAAATTATAAATAGCCCTTATTTTAGAACTTATAGCCTCTTAGAATAAAATGTAGCTTTATTTATTTGCTGCAGTTTCTTTTGTTGTGTTGCCCATCTGCTAACCCAGCATGGCTGGTTCAGGAATTCTGGGAGTTGAAGTCCACGAGTCATAAAAGAGCCAAGGTTGCCTATCCCTGTGCTAACCCAAGAAAAATATGTTTAAAATGCTACGTTACATGCTGTGTGCTGAATTGGGATATGTAATGTGACCACAGGCACACCTTCCTTCTCACCTACCCAGCTCCTACCCCACCCTCCTGTATTTATATTTTAATTAAAATACTTATAAATTGAAATTACGTTAGTTATAATTTATTAATTTAAATGAAGTCAAAGGGCAAGCCAACTTCAGCATGATCTTTATTTACAAGAATGTCTCTAGGACTTACTCATAGGCATGCTTAGAAAAAATAATGCTGGACATCTGCAAACATTTTGCTGGGAATTATGCCCCTGTGCACAATGAATTGCAATAGTGAAGAGTTTCTGGAGAACCAGAGGGGATTTGGGTAACATCTTCACCAGTTTGTGTTCCAGTAAACAAGTGTTATGACTAATTATCCCCACTCCCATGGCAGCCATTTCTGTGCATTTACTTGCAACCCAAAGATATGTTGAAAGAAAGTAAGGGAAAAGGCAGACAACTCTGTCAGCAGAATAATCCCCTGAAAGCCGAATGGAACTGAAACAAATTTAGTATCAGAGAAGACACCAGCCAAAAAAAAGATCAAGTTTAAAACTAGGCTGGGAATTGCAGGATGACTCCCCTCTCCGCAGTTCCCCATACATCCCTATGGGAAAGGTGGATAGGAAGCAGCCTGCTGTGTTGCTGACTGCTTCATTTTAAACATCCCTTCTTTTCTCTGGGGCGCATCATCCAGAAGAGAACTCAATTCTTCTCAGTGCGCACATAGGGGAAAATAGAAGCACACCTGTAGGTATATGCCTTACATTGCATCCAGATGGCCCCCATGATCACCACTGCTAAAGGGCTGTAAAAAATTTCAGAAGCCATGCTTAGCATGTTTTCTCTACCTTGGGAAACTAGAAAGTCCCTGTCTTTGAGAGAAACTAGAGCATTGTCTAAGAATTCCAAATATGTAAAGATTGGCAGGGATGCTTACTCAATAGCATAGGTCAGGAATAGTAGAGAGCTCCTGGAAGACTAGATCCTACAGATTCAAGAAAGCTAGTCTGTCAGGATAATTATTTATCCTTGCCTGTATTTTTAATTCTACTTTTTGTTGTTTTATTGGGTATAAGTATGAATTTTGCTACACACACATTGCTACATGAGCTGCACAAGGTGACAATTTGCTTACAGGTTTAATTCAAGGTATTGGTTCTCATTTTTAAAGCCTTCATGGCATGGAACCAGATTACCTGAGGAACCGTCTTGTTCAGATTGCATTGACTTGTCCCACCCCATCAGATAGAAAGGGATCCTGTCAGTTAAAGAATTTTGACTAGCAGGATCTAAGAAGAGAGCTTTCTCTGCCCGTGTCCTTTGGAATATTTTACCCCCAGAGATAAGGTGAGCCCCCAATCTTTCTGGGCTTTCAGAAAACTCTTAAGATCTGCCTCTGCCAATTAGCATGGGGGGGGGGTTAAGAGTGTTAGGTAACTCTGGAGGTAGCTAATGCTTGAGCATGCTCCTTCTGCCTTAACGATTTTGTTATTGTTGTTGTTAGTTGCAAAGTTGTGTCCGGCCCATCGCAACCCCACAAACAATGTTCCTCCAGGCCTTCCTGTCCTCTACCATCTTCTGGAGTCCATTTAAACTCACGCCTACTGCTTCAGTGACTCCAGCCAGCCACCTCATTCTCTGTCATCCCATTCTTCTATTGCCCTCAATCTTTTCCAGCATTAGGCTCATCTCCAGTGAATCCTTCCTTCTCATTAGGTGGCCAAAGTACTTGAGTTTCAACTTCAGGATCTGGCCTTCTAAAGAACAGTCAGGGTTGATCTCATCTAGGACTAACCGTTTTGATCGTCTTGCAGTCCAGGAGACACATTTCTTAACTTGGATTTTTTTTTTACTTTTAACATGTGCATTTTAGCCTTGCTTTTTAACTCTGTTTTTAACTGTGCTTTTAGTCACGTTTTTATATTAGTTTATGATGTTGTTTTTAAGCCGCCCAAAGTCAGTTTGACGAGATGAAAAGTGTAAAAATTTGATAACTAAATAATTAAATGAATGAACAAAGAAATAAATATTTTTGTTACGTTCCATGCTTCTGTTTCCTCTAAACAACCCTAGGAACATTTATTTCAGACAAAACAAAAATCTAACGAAAGGCTAAATCATAGCCAGAAGGTTATATTTTACTGCTTATATAAAACTGTTTCTATAAAAAAACAGATTTTATAAAAGCTAACGAAGCAAAGCTAACCCTTCAGTGCAAAGTTATGAAATTCATGGCCTGAAAACTGCTTGTGGTATGCATAATACACATATCTATGTTTGTGTTTGTGTGTATACTATGTAATTGTGTGCATGTATTCAATTTTTAAAGTAAATTATACAGGAAGATGGCATAGCACATGTATTATCATCTTGACTCAACATATAGTTCCTCGGCATGCTAACAACAACTAGGGACAACTGGTGAAGTGCCACACAAGGCAGAGAGTAGATCCTAGCCATTCTATCAGAAATTACAGGATTATGATCTAATGAAAGGAAGTATTAGACTAGATGTCCCAAAGGTGCTTTTCACGAGGCAACTGGGCTTTCTTGTTTTTCTTTGAAGACATTTTGGTTTTCATCCAAGAAGCTTCAGACCTTCAAAGAAAAACAACAGGGTCCAGTTGCCTCTTGCAAAAGCACCTTTGGGACAACCATGACCTGGATGGATGAGAATCTCCATAGACATTTAGCTATGCACTATTAGACTAGATGCTTTTCTAGAGAAAGGTCAAAGGAACCATAGTTTCAGCCTTATCCATTCCATACTGATCAAAGCATTTAGCTGATGGAATATTATAATATATTCCTTCAAATAAGCATGATGATACATTGTGCCAGAGTAAAGGAAATTAAGATTAACCAGGAATATGACAAGGGACCAAGGATTTCCAAGCCTGATTTTTTTCATAACTCAGTGGATACAGATTCAGAAAAGAATTTTAGAAATGGATTTATCCATTGCCCAGCTATACAAATTTTCCTTTGCCAGAAAGGATTTGTTTACATTTTCTGCAGATACAGGCACTTATTAATAAAACATTAAATTTGTCACTTGAACAAGGGCTCTATACTCTCAACAGCACTGAACAATATAAATATTCTCCTGTTGGTTTTATCTGACTTATACTCTGCATTTATACCTCTAAGATGTCTTCTTTCACTATGGAAGCCAATGACCTCCTTCTCTTCCTGCAAAACAAAACCTGAGCTGGATAAGTCATTTCAAGCATTTTTGTCTCATTTCCAATTTTGAAGTCTTGTATTGCACATGTTTTCCTAATTTGGTGATCTTTTGTTCAAAGGGAAAAGAAATATAAATGTCTCTTTTGCATGCCTTAAAAACAACAACTCTACCCTCATCCTTAGAGTGCGTGCTAAACCAGCAAATGCTATAATTTTTTCATAAGATCTGATAATTGCCGTACACCTTTAAAACAGGATCCATAAAGCAAAAGACATTTATTGCTGATCCTCGTATTCAGCATCACTGGCTAGTTCTCAAAGACAGAAATGTACAATCCTGGCTCTTACCTACAATCAGCCTACTAGGAAGACAAACTTTGATGTGTTTTGTTCTTCTATGTCTCAGAAGTCGTGTTTTCTCACCTGCTATCTGGTTTGCCTGCTCTCGTTTCATTGTAGACAGATTTGCCTCATCCTTCCATTCTTCACAGCCATTTTGTTTTTTTAAAAAGTTCATCCTTGGAAGGGGGAAAACTGTTTTGGGTTGTTTGTTTTTGTTGTTTCTTTTTAACAAGTTTAGTGATAGAACAAGAAAATAATGGACATGTCAAATTTTTTTCACTGATATAACAGGAAAGGATGAACCTCCCTTGTCTTGACTTTTTAATATTTGTCATTGATAGAATAATGGGACCGGGAAATGATTTTTACTTCATATTAATCATGAGAAGTGATTCTGCCACTTTCTCCTTCTAGATCAAGTAACGAAAAAAGAATAAAACCAGGGCATTTTCTGGATAATTAAAACAGAATTGGAATCCACAACCAAGAAAAGTGTTAACAGGCAGGCCAGGTCAAGAAATAGGTACACCACAGACTCTAGAAAAGCTTTTTATTGTAGTAAAAGGCAATATCAAAATTGTGAAAGCTGGTGCAAATGTCTCTCTATCCCATCTGATATTAAATACAATCAAAGTGGGGTTATTTTTAGGTTCTTTCTCATGCTGTTTTCTTTTAAGCTGACTTAATTTCCAGCTGGTTTAAACATTGCAGTCCAGGAACTTAGGGCTTAGATGATGATGATGATGATGATGATGATGATGATGATGATGATGATGATGATGATGATGATGATGATAATAACAACAACATCAACAACAACGATGATGAGGGAAGGGACCTTGGAGGTCATCTAGTCCAACCCCCTGCTCAGGCAGGACACCTTATACCATTTCAGACAAATGGCTGTCCAGTCTCTTCTTGAAAACTTCCAGTGTTGGAGCATTCACCGCTTCTGGAGGCAGGTTGTTCCACTGGTTAATTGTTCTAACTGTCAGGAAACTTCTCCTTAGTTCTAGGTTGCTTCTCTCTTTGGTTAGTTTCCATCTGTTGCTTTTTGTCCTGCCTTCAGGTGCTTTGGAGAATACCTTGACTCTCTCTTCTTTGTGGCAGCCCCTGAGATATTGGAACACTGCGATCATGTCACCCCTTGTCCTTCTCTTCATTAAATTAGACATACCCAATTCCAGCAACCGTTCCTTATATGTTTTAGCCTCCAGTCCCCCAATCATCTTTGTTGTTCTTCTCTGTACTCTTTCTAGAGTCTCAGCATCTTTTTTTACATCGCGGTGACCAAAATTAGATTCAGTATTCCAAGTGTGGCCTTACCAAGGCACTGTAAAGTGGTATTAACACTGCATGTGATCTTGATTCTATCCCTCTATTAATGCAGCCTAGCACTATGTTGGCTTTTCTTTTTTTTTGCAAGCTCCTAGTTAAAATTTTCATTTGGTGGTGCAAAAGGATAAATTGAGACAGTTCATCTTTCTTTTCAAGCTTCTTGGAATGATTTCTGCTTTATGAAAAAGTTTCAGTATAATAAAGCTAGGAATCCTGATGTGGCAAGCTGAGCTGAATATCTTTTATCAAAATAAGAGCTCTGGTTTCAGATAAACAAACCTTTTGATAAGTGTGGCAATTTATTCTAACATTCTGTAACTTTTGTAGTGGGAGAGGGGAAATAGTTATCTGCTGGGAAAATTATTTTCAAGCTTCAGTGATAATTAGACATTTCTTAATGTCAAATGTTATTTTTAATAACAGAACAATTTCATACAAAGTATTAAAGCCAGAGCTTGCCCAAGAGATTTTGCTGCTTGAAATGCCAACCTAAATGATGGTGCAGAAAATGCTAAAAGAATGTGACATATGGAACAGAAAAATCTCAAAGTATCTTTCTCAATCTCTGGTGGCAATAATTTGTTGGCGTTCATTTTACTGGTTGTCTTAGGCAGCAATTTTACATTATTTAATGGGAAGACTAGTAGTTACTAAAAGAAATAGTTATATTCTAGGAAGCTGATTGAAATGGTATGGAAAAATATGAAGGAGCCATAGCATCTTGAATACTCATGCATCCACATGAATATACATGCATGTGTGCGCACACACATTACATAGGTAGTGTCTAATGACTACAAAATCCCATTTCAGCCCATTCATTGACTTGGAAAACAGTCTAACTTCCAATCAACCTTGGATTTGAACCAGGAAGTTTATCTGCAACCTGACAGCAAATTCAAGTATTAACTCAGAAATCATAATCTTTCTTTGATTGTAATTGGAAAGAGATAGCAGTATCTTCATTTTTTATATAATTGAATGAATGATAGTTGTTTAGGGAATGAAGTATGATCACTTTTACACTTTTAAGTTCAGAACATTGTTACATACATTTTTAAACAGTGATTGCTGACCGTGACGTCTTTATTTCTTGTTGGAATTAGATGAAATGCTTAACGTTGCCCCTTTTATGACAATGAAACTTATTAGATTTAAATCGAACCTTGCTTTTTGTTCAGGACCAACCAAATATGTAATTTCTTTTTTTATTTTTTTATTTTGGTAGGAATTTGCTGTAGAACATATTATAGCTGTTAAATAAGGAACCTGCATCTTTTGAAAAGAATAGCAGCAGTAAGAGAAATCAATTTATGGAGAAGGAACAAAGTGATTTAGTTCCCTATCCAATGGGCATGTATAAGTTGCAGATTCTGACTAATTTGAAAATATTCAGAAGATTTGATGTAGTGAGTTAGTTGTGATAAATTACAACAATTCAAACCTTCAAAATTACTCTTGTTTTGGCAAGGGAAATCATTTAGATAGAATATTCTGGAAAATTAAATGGCAGAAAGACTGGAACATTCAGCATTTTTCTAGCCCTGCATCTTCCCATGGATGCCAATAAAATTAATCCTGGATGAGCAAACTAGGAAGCAGAATGGAGTTTTGGATTAAACCTTCATAAAACTGACAGTGATCAGAAGTAGACTTTATCCTGGACATAGACTTTTTGAAAGTGGAACATAACTTATGGAATGATGGACCCACTTAGAACAATGAAACTACAAAGGGATGGGGAAAAAACAGCAAATGTTACTTGTCTCTCCTTCTCCATTGGGTGATTCAATTTTTATCCAAACTTACTTTTTATTTCTTGGTTTGATATTATGACAGTATTAAGAGCTTACATCCAACAGCTCCTAGCCTCAGCTACTGAATACAGTCACGTTGCAGGACAAATGCAACATATTCATGCTATTTCTCAAGCGGCATATAAATCCATTGAAGTATAGCTACCATTATGTAAATTATATATTTGTTAAAATTATTTTGGTATCATTTGCCTTAATGGGAAGGTCCAATAACATTACTTGTGTTTTAACATTCACCATTATGTTTTATACTTTTATGAGGTTTTGTTTTTTTTACTTTCGGGAAGCAAACAAAAAAAAGGAATCAGATTTCCTCTGCTATTTGTTTTTGATTCATTCCTTCATTCTTTATGGATGGGTGTTGTAATAACTTGCCTTGTGTCTGTGAAAATCAAATGTAATCATGTTTTGCTATTCACTGGAGGTTTTTTTTTCCATCCAAAAAGGAATTGTAATGACGTGTTTTTAATAGGGTACCTTTTGATAGATACTTGGCATTGCTTGTTTTGATGGAATATTCTTGGCAATTGTGGGGGAAAAAAGTTCAAGTTTAAGTGAATGTTTGGTGCATTTGCAGATCATGATTTTAGAAGGAACTGGCAGAATGAGTCTTAATTCCGTCACAAGTCTTCTTCATGAACAGTCGACCTGGACAGAAGGATATCCCACATGTAATGGTAGGAAGTATTCACCAGTGGTGATCTATGAATAGGTTTGAGAACTATCCATCTTTCTCGTGTCCTTATGCTATTTGCAAAGCATGCTTTTTATTTTGATAAACTTTCAGTTTTTTAAAATGACAATCTTATGGAATACTGTCCAATTTCTGTAAACTAAAATGTTAGTGAATGCAATTATTTCCCCATTCTTATGGTTTTTTTAATTTAAAGTATTAAAGCAAAAAAAAGAAGAAGAAAGCATTTGCTTTCTGAAAAGTGTGTACTATCAGTAACATCTACCAGGCAACTCCACCCGAACAAACAACACATTCTAATCTAAGTTTGAAATCTGGAAAGTGCACCATTTCAACTTGAAATTCTCGATCCCAATTCTTGCTGTGCTGAGCTAATGTTAATAGTGTCTCACTGGCAATGAAACTAACATTACCACCAATGGCCAGAAGTAATTTTGGGTGAGGTAGAAACCTTTTCATTTGGCACTTGATTGAAATGCCCATTAAACTTCACTTCAAATAAATTATATTCACATAACTGGATCATTAAAAATGTTTTTCTCATTACTGAATTTAAAATAAGCACTTATTTCTGAATATGGAAATAGAATGATATTGGTATTTTGAGTCCATAAAGCTGATATAATTTAAAGTACTAAAGTATGTTTCCTTAAATCATATATTAAAAAAACCATTTAGGATTTAATTTGCAGACAACTACAATTTTAAAACTTGATATTTCTTTAAAATGTATTCCAACTTTTTATATCATATATTTATTGTAATCTTGGCTGCTACTGTTATCAATTCAATAAATATCAATTCAACATTTACTGCAAAAAAAAATCGTGGTTTGCCCATCAAATAACTAGAATTTTTATTTTATAAATTTCTCAAGATTCACTTTGAGTTGTTTATAAGGAACATGCTTTGCCTTGGGGTAAATAGATAATTATAAATCCCAAGATTAGAATTCTGTATAGCTGATGCACATGCTGACTTCATTTTGCTCACTAACTGCATTCTTTTAAAAATAGGAATAAACATATCACAGTCATAGTTAATTTTCTTAATGAACTCTTAATAAGATTATTGTAATGTGATCTACATGAGGCTGCTTTTGGAGAATGCCTCCAAATTGTAATTGCTTCTGAAGTCATAGTCAATATCATTTAAATATTACCTAGGTTGGTGTTAGATTGCAGGAGATTCTGATTTTGATATCATGTAATTGGTTTCCATTTAGTTTCTGGAAACTCAGATTACTAATTTGAATATAAATAGTTTGGATAAAGACTATTAACTATTCATAACTGATTTTTTTCCCTTAAAAGTCCTGCTATGGGTTTTCCATCCAGTATATAAAAGTAGTCTAATCCACTTCATCAATGTCAATGAAGTTTTTTTTCCAAAAACTTATTTTTCTATTCTATTCTATTATAGAATTTAGCTGCTGTTTGGAAGGGCTGGAGCCAAAGTTCTAGATTTACATTTTAATTCCTAAAGATGTTTGTTTTTATTGACTCTGCTTTCTGCTGCTTAATTTATTATATCACCTTTACATCAATAATTATTCTCATTATTTATCATTGTCTGTACTACGGCTTTTCAAGTGATGAGGATTTTTCCCCCCAATAATTTAATACACAAATAAAAATGAACCATTCTTCACTTTCACCAATGTTATTCATGGATAGTGAAATGTTTTCTTTAGTGATTACTACATCTTTCCCTGCAGCAGCATCAAGCAGTTTTTTTGGAACACAGTGGCATGAAATACATCCTCAGTACTGGACAAAGTATCAGGTCTGGGAATGGCTCCAACATCTTTTGGACACCAACCAGCTTGATGCCAACTGTATCCCATTCCAGGAATTTGACATCAGTGGGGATCATCTGTGTAGCATGACTTTGCAGGATTTTACCCGGGCAGCTGGTTCTGCTGGACAACTTCTTTACAGCAACCTCCATCATCTAAAGTGGAATGGTAAAATTTTCACTAAAATATATGTTACCTTTCCCAACTTCTGATCATCAGTTATTATAGTACTAATAGACTGCTAATTCTGATCAAATTTAGCCACTAGGATCAATAATGAAAGATGATGGAAATTGATTTAGCAATGATTAAGGCTGGGAAAGCAAGATTTAGACACAATACATAAATTTTTTTTCAAAATGTATTCCTTGCATTCAGAAGTCATTAAGAGGTAAAAGGAAAGAGAAATTTTATAATAAATATCCTGCCCAACTCATTTGTCACTGAACTGTTCTGAGTCTACTCTCTAAAACATTGATCTAAAAATTCGAACATTATTTTCTAGGTTTGTAGAAATAGAAATAATATTTCTGGTGGCATCTCTTTCCTTTTGTGATCTTAAAGATATCTACTGCTCAATATGGCTGAAGATCAAAACAGCTAGTTCCAAGGCTTTACCAAAAAAATAAAAACAAGCATCACTATGCTGCAGATCCAGGTCTCAGAGACCATTTAGCCAAAGTCTCTGAAAATTAATTTACTTCCATTAATTTACAACAAAATGTCCCCATAGTCCAATAGGAAGTTTTGAAAAATATACAGGACATTTAGTCAGGCTTTCAGGATCCTTTTCAGATCTTTATGCCGGATAATATAACATTCAAATCATATAATGTACAAACATTTGGAATGGAACATAAGTGCAAACCTATATCAGTACATTTTCCTTAATTCAACTCCAGAGAGAATGGGACAACAAGGTGCTTTTTAAAAAAAATAGATTTAGTTCAGTGCAAAAAAATTTGGAATCCTGAGAACATAGGTGCCCTCACAAAACGGCTGCAATGATTATTACAGTCACAAGCATTAAATAATAATTAAATAGGGAATCTCTAACCTATATTATCCCAACTCAACTTTCCCCCCTGGTTTTAGGGGCATCTCAAGTATTTTTACAACCATATTATAAATGTGAAATTTTGTTAAACTTAAGAATACTTTAATTTTTTTTCCAGTCAGGACAAGATTCTTGGCACACACTGAAGGCTGTCTGTAGTGCATAATTGTCACCACGTTATCTTCAACATTATTGAAGATAATGTTGCCTTCCCTATATTAAAAATGGGTGACTTCTTTGTTTCAGTAAATCTGATTCTTTAAATAATAGTTAATACGAAGAAAATATGCTGGTGTTTGCTTGTGATTTGTAACTCATATAATCAGGAACAAGGCTAACATGAGAATATTTTTATTTTTGTTGTTCTGATATATTATTTATGTAGCTCCCAATGCCATTGTTTCCTATTGTTAATATAATTCAGCTGTTCTGGGGGGTATGGTTGAAATTCTGCATTTTTATAATAATTGCATTGCATATTGCATTCATTTCTGTCAGCTCAGTGTGGAAGTGAAGTGTATCCATCACACAATGTCATTGTTAAGACAGAACAAACAGGTGAGCGATATCTATATTATTTCTGTTCTGAATAATGGCAAACTACGAAAGAACAAGGAGAATGTTTATTTAGAACCAAATAACTCATAAGTCTAAGAAGGGGTTAGATGAGTCCATGTAAATGTTAAAAGAATTCTTTTTTAATCATTATAACATTACTAACATTACATTAGCCATTTAGACTCATTGATTCCAGAGGTAATGTTTTAGGTCAATATAACCTTCTAGACGGTCTAATATTGGGGTGAAATATTATTTTCAATATTAGACTGAAAAGGTATTTATTAACAAAATTATATGATCCATAGCCATTGAGCTATTTGGAAATTCCTAACAATAGAGTGTGTAACATCAGTTTATTTCACAGTTTAGTATAAAGTCTTTTTCCCCATTTCATAGTATTTCAAATTTTTCACAAGTGACCACAAGGGAGTCCCCATCTTTCCTTCTGAGTTTATAAATTGCTATCATAGGTAAGCAAGCTAGAGGTCTTGAGTTTAATCTTGAATGGCAACCTTCAAAGAATCCAGCAATACCTGATGAAAGAAATTTTTCTCTGCTTGAGACCCCTGAGAGCTACTACATCAAAATAGGCAGTCTGTCCTATTACAGCATTAATAATATTAATAATATTAAGAATGTATTCAGAAAGCTATAGGAAATTTCTGGGGATTCATGTTGATAAATAAAGATAATTAATATGGCATTGGCAACCTAGAAAAGAGCAGGATATAATAGAGCCAACAAGATATATACTTTTAAGATATGTTCAAAGTAGACAGATCCAAACCTAACAGTCAAGAAATATTTCTTAATTATCTTACTCTTCTGTTTTTTAATGGGTTTGCTCTGGTAATGAGAAGTAAATTTATGGAGAACTAATAGGAAGGTTCTAAGTAAAAGGTCACATCATCCAGATAACCACCAATTATATAACAACCCTACAAACTTGTAAATAATTGCAAATGATGTCCATATCCTTTTTTTAAAAATCTATTTTTAAATATTTTTAAAAGTATAGGGAAATTTTTTTCAACATTTGTTGATTTCAGTTCAATAAATCTGAGATTATTTTTATTCATTCATCCATTAGATTTATATCCCATCTTTTCAACAAGAGGTCAAAGTGGTTATTTCCTCCCCCCACCATAACAATAATTCTATAAGATAGATTAGGGATCTATTGGGAGATAATGACTGACCCCAAATCACTCATTTAGCTTCCATGGCTGAAGACCCACCTGATTTTGAATTTTCCCAGTGTCTTGCCCACTGAATCCCTCAAATTCTTCTTTTGCATTATCAAATAAAATACCATGTAATAGTCTGAGTCCTTTGGGATTTCTTACACTAAGCTGAATGCTATTGCAATACTTTTGTGCCATGCAGAATAGCAAAAATATTACTCCCCAATCCCACTTGGGTGACTCTTTTTTATTTTTAGAAAGAAAAAAAACACAAAAGTAAAGAGTAGATCAGGCATCTAAACTACAAGAGGTTATGTTGCAAGGACATGTAGCTAGTAAGCGGAAGATTGACCAAATTCCTATTTCATAAGTTTTAAGCTGGCAAAGCACAAAGGTTTAGCATTCGTCATGATTCATTTCCAGGTGTAATCACATATTCATTACTTTAAAAGACAAATAGATCCCCAAACTTGTATTTGGAAATGGAAACAAAAACAAGGTTAACGTCTTCTAAAAAAGGGACAAATGTTTGTACAGAAGGACTAATCTCTAGTAACAATACCCAGATGAGTAGTGTGCTCATCTGTATGTTCTATGGGTCAAAAGATAAATTTAGAACAGTCCTGAAATCTTTATTTTGTTTCCCGCTTCCTACAATAATATGTTTATTTCTTGCCATCCTCCAAGATTATCAGGTCAAGATTTTAGAAAGAAAAGAGCAAATTTATACCACGTGATTGCAGTTGGAGAACATGCTTAATATAGTCATAGTTATCTGCATCCCTCTCTGTCTTCCCAATGGCTACAAAAGTTGGATGTAGAACTGAGGAAGTGTGTTTAAACAGAAATAACAAAAAAGGGCAATTAGCTGCATACAGGATTCGTTACTGCCTTACCAAGGCAGCAATTACAAAATCAGAACTTTTTAGAGATCCAAGAGCTGTTTACAATTTTTGAGGCTTGTAGCCACAGTAATAATAATAATAATAATAATAATAATAATAATAATAATAATAATAATAATAATAATAATAATAATAATAATAATAATAATAATAATAATAATAATAATAATAATAAACAATAACAAATGAAAAGAAAATGTGAGGCATCCAAAGAAAGAAGGAAAGGCTTTATGAAAATATTGTTTAAATAACAAAATAACAATTGTTGAAACCCGAGAAGCTGCAGGAGCTTAAAGGATGGAGTGCAGGCTTAAAAATGGGGTCAGGTGAGTGCTATGTTTGGAGCAAGACCGAGGAAGAGTGAGCCAAATAATGACTCATTAGTCTTTTGCCATCTTACTCACCCACAACAGAGGCAACCTCAGCATACACTAGCTGTCAATGCAGCACCTACCCTTGGTACAGCACTTACAGCAAAGTCAAACTTTCAAAAATAGCTTTAAAGCATGAAACCATTTCTGAGCAGATTGAAAATGGCATAGGATCTCCTGCTTGAGCAGGGGGTTGGACTAGAAGACCTCCAAGGCCCCTTCCAGCTCTATTCTGATTGATTTAAAGTGAGTCCATGCTGTCCTCACTGTTAGCATGGCTTTTCTCTACCTCTGCTCCTGAATAAAGCAGAACAATTTCGTATGTCCAATTGTTCACCCTTGGAGATGAAAATGTCTAATGTTTGGACCATGAAATATGCCTTCTTGTCATTAATAAAATACTCTGATGCTTTTGTATGCGTTATCTCTGTTGAAAATTAAATTTTCTGTTCTGAATGTGGAACATTTCTTGTATCTAACTAGGAGTATTATTTAATCAATATTGATTTTCGTTCTGTTCTTTTTTGTGCAAAAGATCCATCTTTAATGACCTCTTGGAAAGAAGACAATTATTTCTACGATAGTGGATATGGTGGCACAGTAGGTAACTACCTTAAGAACCTCATATATTTTTAAACAACTCTGAGAAATTACTTTGGAAAAATATTTTCTTACATTAATGTTTTTCTTCCTAAATCCTCAGAGTTAGTGGACAGCAAAGCCTACTGTCGAGCACAGCTTTCTGTCAGCACTAGTGGTCACCAACCTATAGGTAAGTAGGTCTAACATTTCATAATCTAGGCCTGATGTCAGCATTTGGTTAAGTCAAATATCCAAAACATATTCTATGTTGCCATACATTTTGGGTTGTCTCATTACTATAGATGGGCAGAAACATATAGTTTTTGTTTGCATAGATACATGTGATTGGACATGCTTAGAAATGCTTGGGTACTCATTGAACCCACATCATATCTGTGCTACTGGTTACCACAAGAACTCAAGGCTGAAAAATGATGCAGTCGCTTTAATGAGTAGCTCAGAAATGCTGCATGTGTGCCAATCCTGAAGTACATTATTGAAGTGTGCATGCATATATATATTTTGCTTTGATCCAAGGAATAGAATCAGCAAAATAACAAAATTAGAACTTCCGGATCAATTCATCTTACCTTATTTACAGCGTTTTGTAGACCTGAGCCCTTAGCTGTAAATCAGCAAGACTTGAAGAATTGGGAGAGAAGAAATAGAGGTTTTATCTAAAGAATGTAATATAGAGCAAACCAAATGACATAAATATTCTTTGTTAGGTTGAACTAAACTCTTTGTTGGACTAAAGCATCTCTTTCTTTCCCTCTGATACAAAGAAACACAAATAATTTGCAAGAAATTCATGCTGCTGGCACATAAGACAATCAAGCTGTTCTCCTTGTGGCTACTCTGCAGCATAGGCTACTTGTTTTCAGTCTGTAAAAATATGAATCAACCACCACTTGGTTTGGCTGAGACCTGTGGTGCCGAGCTGAGACACAATAGAGCTGAGACAGGTGGTGAATTGAGCTCCATGAATAACACCTATCTTTGCATAACACAATGAACCACAAGCCTGCCCATTATTGCTGTGTAAACTAAATGTATTGGGTAAACTCTGAAAATGGTGTTTTTTTTTTAAATAATCATGACATGCAAATACTATTTGTGTAGAAGGTAGAAAATGTCAGTTTAAAGCAGCTTTTTTCCTGCTGTCTTACTTCCCATTCTTGTGAAGCAGCTGCTACCTTTTCAAACCCAGTAGAACTGTAGCGAAATTTGATCATTATCCCCAGTTGTGATCTATTTATCTTCCAACTGCTGATCCTACTGGATGGGGAGCATGCCGGGGTCACAGCGTGTACTAATTTGTGTGTTCTGCAAAAAGAAGCCGGGTGCTTCTGAATCATATGCAAAGTCTGCGCATTTTTTCTTTTGCTTGAGTTTTGCAAGATACCTTTGTTGAAACATCTTTTCTTTTTCCCATTCATCAAGGCACAGCCTTCAAAAACTCCTCATGCTTAAAACTTCTCTCCCTGTAAAATGATCAGCTTTTGTTTTTGCAGGTGTGAAAGAATTAGTTATTAACTCTGCGGTATGCGAGAAGCCCTGTGTGCCTCTATTGGCACTGTGGTCCGATGAGGAGAGGAAAACAAGCATTACCAAAGAGACAGGGAAATGACAAGCAATGCCCTTTTCTTTTCTTTTTTGAGAAAGAGCTGTTGAGCTGTACTTGATCGTACCACAGCATGTTTCATGCTATGTATGTATGTATGACTAGTTTAACAAAGAGAAGGACGAGGGGGGGG